AGACCTTCTGGTTACAAGGCGAGCTAGCTCGAAGACCCAATCCAGTGACCAGGCGGTGCATGCATCCTTACTTCTGCCAATTCACGACATAGAGCGAACAATTCGCAATGTCTTCTTCGATGAGTAACTGTCCTCACCTTCAACCTGCTGTAGCCTACTGGCCACGGGTTCTCACTAGAACCCCAGGTAACTACCTACCTGAATAGGGCAAGTCGTTAGTGAGCATCAGACCAAATTTCAAGTATTGGTTGCTTTTTGTAGGGATTTCGTTTGATTGGTTGGAGGATTTCATCATGAGCTGATATCAGTTAGAGAAACATTGTGTAAATCGTGTTCCAAAATTAGAAAAAACAAATTAACTAGTTGGGTTACTTCTGCCTGTTGATTATTCTGAATGCTTTCAAACTGTCTACAATATGTCCAGTATCGAAAAGATGGTTGTTAATCTCATAATTTATTAAATGTAAGTCAGCTGCGTAAAAAGAGCGTTTAATACATTTAGATAAACGACTTTTAATTACTTCAGAGATACTGTCACCTTTGAAAGCCAAACTCATAAACAGTGTCTTCTTCGGCACTGTGATTTGGCTGAGGACGGTTTCTTTCTTGACGTCTCTATCGATAAACCTTCTAGGATATCCATTATTTAAGAGAGTTGGGCGAAGGCTTCCTAATTCTAAGTCGATTGTATCCACAGAGCAAATTTTCCGAATTCTGGAACTCAGAGAGCCATTGGTGGAAACTATTTGCTATTTATGTGATTACGTTTACCTAGAATGAATAAATATTGGAGTGCCAACCAGCTATCTGAGGCAGCTTTTATTGAGATGTACGTTTAATGTGCAGTTCAGATTCAATGATATCATCTATAACCATGTAGTCTCCATCAGAACCTCTCTTGGCGGACGTTTTCATGGCGAGCTTGGAGAGGGGACCATTGAAAGAAACAATCTCAAGTCTTCATATGTATAGGCGATATATTGATGACACCTTCATTATTTGTGATAAAAATTGTCCAACTGCCGAGCTTCTTGGAAAATTTAGTGGTTCTCGCTGATCTATGCTTTTCACTATGGAAGAAGAGTCGAACTCCGCATTTCACTTCTTAGATGGGATGCTCGATGGAAGAGACGACGGCACGTTGAAATGGTCGATCTACCGAAAGCCAGCATTTACAGGTCAGTACACTAACTTCAACAGTTGGTTACCTCAAGACAGGAAGAGAAATCTTATCCGTTCTCTATACTCCAGAATTCGGAAAATTTGCTCTGTAGATACGATCGAGTTAGAATTAGAAAGTATTCACCCAACTCTCTTAAATAATGGATATCCTAGAAGGTTTATCGACAGAAACCGTCCTCAGCGAAATCACAGTGCCAAAGAAGACACTGTTTATGTGTTCGGCAATCAAAGGTGACAGTATTTGTGAAGTAATTAAAAGTCGTTTATCTAAATGTATTTAACGGTGTTACATGTCACAATTCATTCCCTGTGAGCTCTTCAGTTTCAGGTTATTTTTATTATTTGTTCAGAAATGTGGACAATACACCTTTTTCACGATGAGTCCAGTGTACGTGCTGTGACACGTACATGTAAACTGGGGATAACATGAAATGGGAGTTTATCCACTTTTGGTTATCTGAAGCAACTGTTTATTTAGTACGCACACAGCTATACTCTGCAGAGAAACTGGAGGAATGGACAATACTTACATTTTAATAGTTTTTGTCCAAATAGCTATAAACGAGCACTAGTCAAAACTCTGTACTATAGAGCGAGGAGAATATGTTCTGCAGAGAAACTAGAGGAAGAATTTACGATTCTCGAAAAGGTGCTGAAAAACAACGGTTATCCTCAAAGATTTATTAACAATTATGGAAGATGTGAAGGCTCAAATACCAAACAAATCACAGTTGAAAAAAGCCTGTCTTTATTCAACTAGATTTTAAAGGTGAAAACATTGCAGAAATGGTAAACAGAAGACTGGGAACGTCACTAGCCAGAGCCTATCCTGCAGCTAAGTTGGTTCCCGTCCATCGAACAACATGCTCTTTGGTGCAGTCAAAAGTCGATAGATACCCTCAAATTTCTGCGGGAGCAGTTACATTAGGAGAACAGAAAGAAGGGCACACCTCCGATTTTCTGAACATGTGCCGAAAAGCCTACGTCTCAAGGGAACAAACTCTTATAGTAGTGCTATTACTAGACATCTCCTCGACACGGGTCGAGAAATCCTTTAAAATTATCAATAGACAAAAGAGCTCTATTCTCCTCAAGTTTGCCAAAGCAATTTCTATCAAACGCTTGAAACCAGATTTATGTGTTCAGAAGGAAGCAGTTATTAGTCTTTCCTTGCCCTGGTAACTGGATGTCTTTATTCTCTGATCTGATTACGTAATCTTTGTCTTTAACCTCACCCCCTTTTATAATCTGTAATTTTGCTTGTCTCTTGTTTCTATGATTTGAGTTGAACTCAGTACATTGTTACCTAATTTATTAGTCACTCTGCATCTAACGCATATCTCGTCTTTATTACGTAACTCCTTTACCATTGTATGCATACATTTATTTTGTTTAAACTTGAACTGCCTGTGTAAAAACTATATAAGCGCAATTTTCTGAGCACTGTTCACTAATTGCGGAACTTTCTGTCAACTGACATCATGTAAAATTTGCAAGTATGTTAAAACTTTTCTGACGTAAACCTCATAATTTATTTAGGCTGTAAGCAGCTGATGAGAAGCCAACGAAATAAATGATGGTACCATATTATTCTGCACAAACCACTGTTGTTCTTGCTTTATTCAAATTCATCAAGGGGAATAAATGCATGATGTTAACCTATGCACACACACACACACAATTGTATACTGCATATACACACATATATTTTCATATTCAGTTATCTACGACCAGGAACTTTTAGTCAAACATTATCACTAAAATTCTGATGAAAAGTAATACTTTGATAAAGCAGCATTAAATAGCAAAACGTCAGTAAAAACAATATCGTTTTGTTTTTTAATTCATTGGGAAATACAAAAGCCTTTATTATAATGAAAGGTAAACTCTGTTTAAAGTGTTTAACAAAAGCAGACTAATAATATTTGTAAGTCTGAGATCAATCTTTGATCACGGCTCACACAATTTTGTTTATTATATATTTTGATATATTAAATATTCTCATAGTAAAATTTAGAACAACACATTTAAGCGAACAATATTGTTTTCTAGGTTTCCAGGCCGTAGGTATTGCGAAATTCCTGGAATAATTTGAGCGCAGAGTCAGATTGGTTCATTATAAATTATTTAAATTAATCCCAGCGTGTTTAAGAAAAAAAATCAAAACAAGATCTGTTTTCTGAACGTTTCGCTGTGTAAGCCACAGCTTCTTCAGCAGATTTATTCGGATTTTTATTAATCGTCCAGGCATGATTCATAAAAATCCGAATAAATCTGCTGAAGAAGCTGTGGCTTACACAGCGAAACGTTCAGAAAACAGATCTTGTTTTGATTTTCTTAACACGCTGGGATTAATTTAAATAATTTATAATGAATATTGTTTTCAACTAGATCTCATCAGGCTTAACTCTAATATATATAAGTTTACAAATAAAAATTCAAATATAAACCAATCATGGTCTTGTCTATAGGATAATAAGATGGCGAAATAAATTGTGCAATTAGTCATAATAGTAATGATAATAATAATACTTTGATAAAGCTATTAGCATTAAGTGGCGAAACGTCAGTAAAAACATCATTTTGTTTTTCATTCATTGGGAAATACAAAAACCTTCATTATAACGGATGATCATAATAGTAATAATAATAATGGTCATATTCGTGTTATCACAGATTGCCTCACTTTTTCATCCTTATTGTTGATAAGACCATTATTATTATTAATATCATTACTATTGTTATGACTAATTGCACAATTTATATTCACCATCTTATTATCCTATAGACAAAACACCGTGACTGTTTTATATTTCAATTTTTATTTCTAAAGACATGTATATTAGAGTCAAGCCTGATGAGATCTAATTGAAACCACAATATTCTTCGCTTAAATGTGTTGTTCTATATATTTTGATGCCTGTTTCATGACCCATATGATTAGACAAAGTTTTTTAAAAAACAAGATGTCCTTTTTATATATTAATTTCGATTAATTTCCCTGAAGAAGTTCGGATCAGTTTGCCTAATGTAGGAAACGTTGGAATTACTTATTCCAACTTCGCTGAGATTTTCAAATATAATTTTTAAGTGTGGACGATATACATATACTGCATAGTTTCAACAACAACTGCCTTAGACGGCTCCATACTGAAGGGCAAATGACCAACCAGAAAGGATAATCAACAATGAATCCTGGCAACAACCGAACCAAGAACCTGCTGCCTAATGAATATGCAAACCGAAATGAGGATAGATAGTCCATAAGCTAAGAAGACCGTCGATTGAAATCCAAACAGATGAAAAGCGATAAATTGGGTGTATATTAGAGCATGACATGGAGGAGACAGAGTGGGCAATCGTGTAGAGCCTGTTAAGAAAAAGTCTGCAAAGAACAGAGAGAAATGACGATGTACTGCTGAAGCCTTATGTTCGTCCCACACGAGACCCAAGTGAATATTAATAGAACACAGAATGTGAATGTGCTTTGTTTTTCTCCACATCAGTTTTTATTCCCTTACGTTCCGAGTAGAACATAGGACTTCAAGCTAGAGCGCTGAAGTTTCCGTACAGTGATTTCATTTTCACAGGGTAAGGTTACTAGCCAGCCTCACGCCAAACCTACCCTTGTTACTAGCCTCACTACCAGTTTAGTGAGGTTTAAGAGTGCGTCACTCGAGGGTCGAACCCCAGACAACATACGTGGTTGGCCAGGCGTCCTACCGCTGAACCACATCATAGTTTAAGCAAAAACAAATCACTGAAATTATAAACTAATTTTGATATATTGAAATTTCCATAGAAAAGAGAAATTAGAAAACGGTTAATACTGTACAAATTTCACAAAATGTGTCAGCACTTTTGTTAAATAAGACAAAATTCACTCAGATATACAAAAACGAAATACTAGAGAAAGAAAGACAGAGACACAAAAATACACTCTAATGAGTATCGCGTATGTTATGTTATAACAGTGTTCCTTTCAATTCACTTTGTGTTCCACCAAGGGGCTTCTTCAGAGGGAGGGGGTATTGTTTCTTTTCCAGGAATGCTCACGTTCAATCAACCCTCTACACTTTCTCAAGTGGCATACAATCCGCTAGTAAACTAACTAGACAAGGTTTAGCAGTGCATCGGCCGAGAATCGAACATCCAGATCACTTGTGTCGTTTAGCGAACATTCTAACACTGAACGACCAAGGTCCAAAAACTTAGCAGAAATGAAAAGTATTCATATCAAGAAAGACAAAAATAGACAGACATTAAGTATGTACATATATCTACAAAAAATAGATAAACGAACAGCTCAGCTCGTCTAGTTGAGAAAACAAAACAACAACTACGATTTCGATTGTTGTTGTTGTTCGTTCACTTTGAGGTAGGTAATCGTCCAGGTATTCCGAAAATCCGTTTATATTCCTCTGATGTAACCTTATGCTGATATAACCACTGGAACCAACTCTGTTGAGATAGTGCCAGTTCATGAAATCCATCTGTAAATCGACGAAGTTTGTATGATCCAGTGCCGAGAATTTCTTTCTCACGAAGTTGTATATGTTTCCATTGTAGATTACGCAGTCTACGCCAGTATTCATCAGCCTGGAAGAAAGATATACGTATGCATACCTCAATGAAATAAATACCTATTTAATATTTATTAATGCAAAATTTACTAGTGTCAAATAAACATACGCGTAAAACTTGGGCAGAGTGGTTATATGCATATTATTATTACTGTTGTCTCCTTTAGTTCCTAGAGGAAATATAGGGCTTCAGTCACACGTCTATATTGCGTTCGGTTCTCTGCCAACATTTCCACCTGGCTTCACGTCTGACCACATGCTATCATTTCCTTTTCGCATCACCTCCTCCTTCATGTCACCCTCGCAATGACGCCCAACTAACTCGTCGCTTCCCATTCGGGGTCCACTCGAGCGATGGCCTCGGGTGTGATGTCATTTGATGGTTTGTTTTCTCAGAGTATGGCCAATCCACCTCCATTTCTTCCTGCTTATTTGTTGCAAAATTGGTTCCTGCTGGGTTGGTTCGTTCCCAGAGATTCCTGTTGATGGTCTTTTCCGGCCGCCCATCTGATCTTGAGTAATGAACGAAGACAGATGTTGATGAAAGTCTGTAGTTTGTTTGAAGTGCCCTTCGTGACAAGCCAAGTCTTTGATCCGTACAACAGCGCTGACTTTACATTGGAGTTTAGCACGGATCCAAAAAGCTCGGGCTGCTTTCGCTAACTTACACCATCTCTGGCGTAGGCGTGACATCCGGCTATCAACCAAGGGACGTGTGTACTGCTCATCAGTTCGCTCCGTCCTTCTCTACGGCTCTGAAACATGGCCAATACGAGTTGAAGACATGAAAAGGTTGACTGTTTTTGGTCATAGATGTCTACTATCTCTTTCTCACGTTAGGTGGTATAATAAGGTAAGTAATGTTGACGTTAGGCGTAGTGTTTGACAAAGAGGGAAAATCAATCGACGAGTCTATAAAGTTACATAGATTGAGATGGCTAGGTGACGTGCTTCGCATGCCTAACCATCGCCTCCACCGACGGACGGGCATTACTAGCTGATATAGGTGCAGGTTGGAAAAGAGTAAGCAGTGGCCAAACAAAAACATGGCATCAGTCCATGAAATCCCTGACAGTTAAACTGAGTCAGGTAGGGAGATGCAGACTTCCGGGTTGGGACCATCGGGACTCTAAGAATCAATGGCTGGAGACAATAGGTGATATGGCTCAAAATTGTTGTCAATGGCTTACGCAGATGTATTCAGTCTCTGTAATCTTTCATATTCCTTTCTACCATTACTCATTCTGTTTCACTCTTATACTTGTCAAAACTGTATTGATTCTCTTCACTCATATTCTTGTCTACCTTTGTGTGCTCTTTGGAACGTGGCAACTCGAACTGCTGCACTTCGGTGCAAAGTTCTATGTTGAATCCAGACAGGAGTTAAAATTCCGGATCTTATTTTTCATGCTGAGTGCTGTTAATCTCGACACAGACTTGAGAGTAATTCCAGATTAATTTGTTTATTCGATATGTGCATCTATCAGTTCACCTGCTCCTGTGGACCACAGATGGACACTACAACATATTCTAGCATGGTTTTAAAAGACAGCTTTAGGAATCGGCCATTCATGAATTTAATCCAGACATTTGTGTTGTACTACAATTATCTACTCTTTTCCAACATTAATACATTCTATGAGCTATTCTATGTATAACATTAATTGTTTTACTGTTTGACACTTGATATTTAACTATGATTATAATCAAACATTTCAGCTGCATTTCATATCATCATTTTACATATTCACACGTTTGTTTAGATTTCCTCATGGGACATAATTTCTTAAAAAGCCGTATATATATATATATATATATATATATGTATATATCGATGGCGAGGCATGCGTAACACATGTCATAACTATCTCAGTCGATGTAGCTTCACAGCCATATCGATTGATTTCCCCTCCCTACCTAGCAGTCGACCGATACGTAACCTCAATATTGCTCACCTTATTATACCACTTCACACGGGAGATAGAACGCAGGCACCTATGATCAAAGACAGTTAATGTTTTCATGTCTTCCACTCTTAATGGCCAGGTCTCACAGGCATAAAGGAGGACGGAGCGCACTGATGAGCAGTACACCCACCCTTTGGTCGATAGCCAGCCGGATATCACGTCTACGCCAGAGACAGCGTAAACTGGCTATTTGCCGTTGGGGCTGATGGTACTTCCCAAACTGAATAAAGAAATGAAAAAGAGTACCAGGAAAGACAACAGACACTGACAACTGAAGCAGAACAGGCCGTGTTCTTGGATTCGGATTTGAAGAGAGCGCAACTTTGACCAATGTAATGTTTATTGCAGTTTATACAATTTATTTTGTAAACGGTATTAATAACCAGGTCTCTATCCAAGAAAAGATCAACACAGAGAAAACCTATCAAAGATGGTCAAGAGAACCCGATTACCAAGGAGGAGAAACAAATAAAACAATAGGTTGATCACTTCAAAGGACTCTTGAATCAACCATCACCTGAAACTCATCCAGATATATACCACCAGTGGAAGCACGCACAGAATAAAAGCGGAAGTGTTGAGTGCAATCAAGCTACTGAAGTTTAAGAAGGTTTAGGGATCAGGTGGAATTCTCCCCCCCCCCCCCGCTGAAGAAAACTGAAAACGGACACACAGAGTGAAGTGGATATGCTAACGCCTTGGAAGGAAGGAAAGGTGCCTACCGATTGGAAAAAAGGCTGCTTTATCAAACTATCAAAGAAGAACCACTTACGCCTGTGCAACAACTGATATGGAATAATGCTCTTCTCCGCGCCTAGTAAAATACTAAGTCGCGTCATCCTGGAGAGAATAAACGGTGCACAGGATGCAGAACTCCACCCTACCGCTCAGAACGAGCTGGATTCACGAAGGGTAAATGATGTGCTGATCAGATTGCAACTCTACGCATCATCATCATCGAACAGAGCATACAATGGCAATCAATCCTGTACCTTAACTTCATCCGCTTCGAGGTCTTCGACAGAAGCGGAGCCTTTGAAGTGAAGACAAAAGTAAGACAAGGCTGCCTGTCTACTATCACCAATGATATTAGTAATTCTGGGGGACTGGATTATGCGGCACACTATGCGTGAGGAGCGAGAAGACAGGAATAAGTTGGGCCGATAAGAAGACTCTGAAAGATCGGGGCTTCGAGGATGATTTCTGCCTAATGTCACATAAATTCGAGATTTACTAGCAAAAACCAAATTGACAGACAGAGGACAGATTGCAGGTGAACATAGAGAGGACGGAGGTAATGAAGATAACCAACTAACAGCATCAAACACTAATAACGATATTAATTTGAAAGAGGTTACTTCCTCCACTTATCTAGGAAGCATCCTGTCAACCACGGCCGGAACGGATGAAGATTTCAAAGGCAGAATTGGAAAGTCAGGGTACAACTTCATCAATACGAAACCAATTTGAAAATCTTTGGCTGTCACTTAGCATACAGAACAAGATTCGGATTTTCAACACCAATGTGGGAGTCAGTCAGTTGTCTGTACGGGTCAGAAACGTGACGCATCACAAAAAAAATACTTCCAACAGGCTTCGGCGGAATTTTAACAACAACTGCCTTCGCTAGCTCCATATTGAAGATCAAATGGCCGGTCAGAAAGCATCACCAACAAGAAACTATGGGAACAAACTAACCAAGAACCTCTCGTTCAACCAATATGTAGGAGAAAGTGGAAATGGATAGGGCACAGGCTGAGAAGACTGGAAAACCATGAGCGGGTTATCCAAAAGTGATATGGAGGAGATCGTGTGAGAAGGAGATGATAATATATGGGCGATCGTGGTCCCATCTAAAGAGGATAGCAGAAAAAAGAACAAAGTGGAGATGGGTAGTTGAGTCCACTTGTTCCATTCGGAAATTCATTGTAAAGAGTCTCTACCACAGCTGAATAAGAAACCTACCTTCATCCAACTCGATTTTAAAGGTGACGACAATGCAGGAATTATCAATAGAAGACTGAACACACTCTTCTAACCAGAACTTATCCAGCCTGCAGCCAAAAAGGTTGCCGTTTATCCCATAACAAACGCTTTGGTGCAATCAAAAGTTAACTCCCATTGTGTATAAAAACAAATTTACATGTATCTGCAAAGCGGTTACATTGGAAAAACAGACAGAAGAGCACATCTCCGATTTTCTGAATATTTACCGAAAAGTCTACGTCTCAAGGGGAGGAACGCTTTGAACAGTCCCATTGCCAGACATCTCCTTGATACAAGTTATGAGGTAGACATTACAAGATCCTTCAAAATTATATACATATATATATATATATATATATATATATATATATTGCAAGGAGGATTTCATCATGAGCTGACATCAGGTAGACAATTCATTAAATAAATAAATTAGGTCAAATCTTAAAAGGTGAGGTGGAACGATAATCAGAGTTTAAATAAATATCATAAAAGTACGAAGGAGATGGAAGATAAGAAAGGGTGGGAGGGGTTTGAATAGAATTCACCTAGGCCAAGGGAGAGACAAAGGTAGAACAAACTTCTTCGTTGTATGCAAAGACTAGGATTGCTCTCTCGAATTAATTCCCATAGCTTCGGCTAGGTGTAAAAGACGAGTTCTGATTCCGTTCGAAAGACTCGATGGAATACGATAGATAACTTTGAAGGCACTATTTCTATCCACTTGGTGACCGCTATCAATCAAATGAGCCAAAATAGAACTTCGTATGGATTTTATTTGACCTTTTCCGAACCATGAAGGAAGATGCTCATTCATGCGTTCGTTAAGCTGTCTAGTTGTTCACCCTATATAGCTTTCTCCACACGAGCATCTAAATTTATAGATACACATCGAAGTGGCACAGCTAGGTAGCTTATCTTTCACTTGAGCAATCGAAATTGGTCGGCTGGAAAATGACAAACAAAGGGTGGCAGCAGTATAAGTCCGTTTTATCGCTCTCGATAATCTCAGATGTAAGACTTCGCTAGCCATGTCCCCATTAAATTGCAGTTTCATGAACAGTTGTTTCTTTACAACTGTTGTCAGTTTTTCTTTATTCTACCTGGTATTCATATGTCTCCTTATAAATCTACTAGGATGACCCATTTGGACCAGCGTATTTTGGATGTATCCTAGCTCATTTTCTAGGCAGTCATCTGTACAGATACGTCTTGCTCTATTTGTGAGGCATCTGACCAAATTGATTTTATGTCGGATTGGTACAAAACTGAGGAAATGTGTATATTGTCCTACAGATGTAGGTTTTCTATAGACATTTCTCTTGAGTGAACCATCCTCTCTTCTGCTCAATTGGACGTCAAGGAAATGTAGTCTACCACCATGTTCTTCTTCACAAGTGAAGATGAGCGATGGATGTGCATCATTAAACTTTTTAACATTTCATTCTTGTCAGTTTTCACATCAAGAGTAATAAACGTATCATCAATATAACGAAAATAAGAATCGGTTTTCTCTATTACTTGTCTCAATGGACCATTTTCAATCTTGGCTAGGAAGAAATCTGCCAAAATTGACCCCAATGGAGAACCCATGACAATACCATCGATTTGCCTGTAGCAAAGGTTGTTGAATATGAAATGTACATTCATAGTACATCTTAAAAGCAACTCTTTCAGACTAATAACTTGAATTCCCATGTCGATCTGTTTTTCTACTATCTGTTGGCATATGAATTCC